GGGAGAGTAACTTCTTTGTGCAAACCAAATGAACATTCTGAAATTGAGAACACGAGTTAAAACCACTACTCGAATGCAAGCATTTAGTTAAGCTGGAATCTTCACAATTTTCCACAACAGCAACCATATCATATTTGTCATTGCATAACGATTCATACACTCAAAGATTGTTTTCAACCAAAAATATGAGCTAATAACACTACTTGAACAATAATGATTTACAAAACACATAATAATTATACAAGCAGAAAAGTAGAAGAGTCTTTGTAAGGGAAGCAAAAGGATTAAAATGCCAGATTATGTAGTGGAATTTGTTCGATCAAATTCTTTTTTCCACTTTTGCTTTCACAATAACCTAAATTCCTTGACCACCATACCGCCCCCTCAGCTCCATGCTGAGCTGCTGTTTTCTTCTTTGAGTTCAACGCACTCCAAAACCATTACCAAGGGTTTTTCTATCCCAACGTTGACCTTAATGCTACGTTTGGTGTGTATTAATGGAATAGAATGGAATGAAATGTTCATTCCAACCATTCATTTGTTTAGTATGCAATTTAAAGTGGGAATGGTCATTCTATTGGAATGAAAAATCCATTCCACAACTAAACCTATTAAATGACCATTCCATTCCCAAGTAATTTTTTTTATAAAAAAATCAACTTCTCAAAAAATCCTCATGTTCCAAATCCAAAACCACTACTCCCTTCCACCACAACCACCTTCGCCTTTCACCACCACCACCATCAACTTTCACCACTACCACTGCCTTCCACCATCATTACTGTCACCGTCTTTCACCACTGCCACCGCTTTCACCACCGACACCGCATTCCTTTGCCTCACCACAACACCGCTACTGCGATCGCCTTTCACCATCACCACTGCCTTCCACCACCACCACTGCCTTTCACCATAGCCACCAACATCACCGCCTCTGCCTTTCACCACCACCACCATCAACTTTCACCACTACCACTGCCTCCACCATCATTACTGTCACCGTCTTTCACCACTGCCACCGCTTTCACCACCGACACCGCATTCCTTTGCCTCACCACAACACCGCTACTGCGATCGCCTTTCACCATCACCACCGCCTTCCACCACCACCACTGCCTTTCACCATAGCCACCAACATCACCGCCTCTGCCTTTCACCACTGCTACCTTCCACCACTACCACTTTGACACCGCCTTCCACTACTGCCACTGCCACCTTCCACTACTGCCACCGCCACTTTTTACCACCACCACCACTACCTTTCACCACCACCGCCACCGCAATTGCCTTCCACCACCAAAGCCACTGCCTTCTATCATCGCCACCACCACCACCACCAGTGCCACCGCCTTCCACCACCACCAGTGCCACCGCCTTCCATCACCACCACCATCGTCTTCCATCAGCGCCATCACCTTCCACCATCGCCACTGCCTTTCACCATCACCACCTCCTTCCACCACCGCCACCTCTATTGCTTTCCACCACCACCATCACTGCCTTCCACCACCACCACCACTGCTGCCGGCAACTCCATTGCCTTCCACCACCACCATAGTTACCTCCATTGGCTTCCCCCGCCGCCACCTACACCATTTTGCTAACCAACCTCTAATATGTAGCTCCTGCATTTTTCAAATCGAACGGCATCACCTTTTAGCAATAAGTCCCTCGTTCTGTCATGAAAAATGTATTCTCCTCATCGTCCGGGTGCATGGGTATTTGGTTATAGCCTAAATATGCATCTAAGAAAGTCAGACACTCATATCCAATGGTTGCATCTTCCATTTGGTCGATTTTAGGCAAGGGAAAGCTATCTTTGGGACAAGCCTTATTCAAGTTAGTGAAATTAATGCAGACTCTTTACTTTCCATTCTTCTTCTAGACAACCACCACATTGGAAAACTAGGAAGGGTACTGACCTTCTCTAATGAAACCTACCTCCAACAGTCTGTCCATTTCGTCCAATATGATCTGGTTTCACTCTGGCACAAAACTTCTTTGTTTCTGCCTGACTGGCTTGAAGTTAGTGTAGGGTTTGTGGCTCAAAATTTGTGTGCAAAAAATTAGTTTCCTTTTTTCATTTTAGAATGTTGAAATTTGTAGAGGAAAGTGTATCCCATTATATTTCTATTTTAGAGTTTTAATCATTATGGTAACTTTTTGTAGGCAAGTTGATGAATACTTGTTCAATAAGGAATTGAATTTGAAGACTCTATAAATAGAGATGAGTATGAGAGGTTTAGAGAGAGAGAAAAGAGAAAAGTTGTAAGGGGTTCAAGGATGAATGTTGTGAGGAAATGTGATAGTATATGTAATTCTCGAGTGTATACATGTAACCTCAAAAGAGATGATGAGTAAGTGAGTGGGGTTTTGACATATGGTTGTATATTCTCTTCCTTGATTCATAATAGTGAAATCTCTATCTCCGATGGACGTAACCCTAGAGTTGAATGAACCATGTAAAATATTTTGTTGTGAGTGGATGTATGTGATTGTTATCTCTATATATGTTTGTGTTGATTTGATGTGATGATACTTCCACTGTGTGTGATAAAGGGATGATTTAAGTGTCAACAACAGCCGACCGTTGAGTGGGTTGGAGGGAGTTAATTATCCCCAACAACTGGTTTCAGAGTCGATGATTGGTTAGAGCCTGTGATTGGTCCTAAACATCAGTAGAAGAAGATTGTTGTGAAGTTTGTCAGAGCAAAAGATGATCGTGAAGTGCTCTGGAGATTCAATCAGAGTTGATGATGACAGAAGGTATGTTGATGGTGTGAAGTCCATGACGAACAAGTTTTGGAACAAGCTAGAGGATGCTCATTTTCAAGATGTGCAAAGGTGATAGAAATGAAGCCCACGAGGAACAAGTTTTGGGGACAAGCAAAGAGTGAGTGCTAGTTCTCAATATGAGGCAAGGGGTGTGAAGAATGAAGGAGAATATAAAGAGTGAAGATAAATCGTTTGTTGCTTTGATCCAGAAAAACAATTGATGAAGATGAGTTGAATATTGGTAGGTTGCTATGCGTAAGCAATTAAATACCAATGGGATGGATAGAGAAGATAGAAGAAAAATGAAGAATGATGAATTTGAGAAAAAGTGAAGATTGTTAGAGTGTTTATTAAGTTCATCGTAGTGCTTTATTTGAGGTGGAGAAATATTCAGTTGAGGTCGAGCTATGAAGAGCTTGAGGTGGAACTATGAAGAGATCCTTGTTCGAGGTGGAGCTATAGAGAAGCACGTGAAGATAAAATTTTGAGCCAAGGTGGAGATTTTTAAGTTTGTGACTCAAAATTTGTGTGCAGAAATTTTTTTCATTTTTCGTTTTGAAAGGTTGAAATTTGTAGAGGAAAGTATATCCCATTATGTTTCTTTTTTTGAGTTTTGATCATTATGGTAACTTCTTGTAAGTAAGTTGAGGAATACTTGTCCAACAAGGAATTGAGTTTGAAAACTCTATAAATAGAGATAGGTATGAGAGGTTTAAAGAGAGAAGAGAGAAAAGATGTAAGGGGTTCAAGAGTGAGTGTTGTGAGTAGAGGGGAGAATATATGTAATTCCCAAGTGTATACATGTAACTTCAAAAGAGATGACGAGTGAGTGAGTGGGGTTTTGACATGTGGTTGTAAATTTTCTTCCTTAATTCATAATAGTGAAAACTATTTCCCCTATGGACGTAACCCTAAAGTTGAGTGAACATGTAAAATATTATATTGTGCGTGGATGTATGTGATTGTTATTTCCGTATATGTTTGTGTTGATGTGATGTGATGATTCTTTCATTATGTGTGATAAAGGGGAGATTTAAGTCTCAACAATAGCCGACCGTTGAGTGAGTTGGAGGGAGTTAATTATTCTTAAAAGTTTGAATCTAAGTTAAGGTAGTGACATGACATAGATGAATCAACTCCTGACATATCTAGATGGCTCCAGGTGAATATGTATGAGTTCCTGGTTAAGGCGTTGACTAAGTGTCGTTTTTTATCCTCAGTCTCAAAGAATATACAATAATTAATCACATGATATTTAATTCAAGAGTAAATGCTTCATAGATTTTACATTTTTGAAATGCTAGATCTAGCAAAATGTCAAAAAAAAAAAAAAAAAAAAAAAAATGATTCTTAAATATATTTCCCAGTTGAACTTATTCACCAAATCCAGTGAATAAATCACATTGATTTTGTGAATAAACCACATTTGTTAGATTAATCCGCTTACAAATAGGCTTAAATTCAATTACTCAAATATAAAACTGTTATTATGCTATTTTGCTAATATATATTTTAAAGGTTTTGCTAATATTATATTATTATCAGCTAATTAAAAAGTGGAGTAGTATGATACAAAGGCATGAATTCCATTATATACAACTGGAAATATTTAATGGACAATATTTATGTTCGCATTAGTTAGAATCTACACTATATTTAATAATAAATGAACATCTTATTTTTAATTATTAAATTATAAATGATAATTAAATCATCGTTATTTGATAAACGGGTATTTACTCCCATTATATTTGATTTAATAATTAAAAATAATTTATTTATTTATTATTGATCCCCGCTCACAGTGAGCGAATCTAAGTATTTTTCATATTTAATTAAATGTCTTGGGAGGTGTATTCAGTATATATGTATTTGGATGGACACAATGACTAAATTTCCGGTGATATCATGTTACGCACGTCACGTGAGTTGCTAATATTTTCCCAATTATTTTTCTCCACCGTCCACTAAAGTAGGATTCACAATATAGCCAAGTGAGGTAATCTGTACGGCGATGAATGCAGTGAGCACAGGAAGTATTTGTTATGCGTAGTACAGAATAAATTCTACCAATTCAAGTCCACTAAAGTAGGATTCACAATATAGCCAAGTGAGGTAATCTGTACGGCGATGAATGCAGTGAGCACAGGAAGTATTTGTTATGCGTAGTACAGAATAAATTCTACCAATTCAAAACAAAACTAGGACAGTTGGCCCCCACAAACAGTGGTATGTGCCAAAAACCATCAGAATCAGGAGAAATGCCACTGATTTTCTAGGGTTTCCGTTGTTTTGGAGATGGAGTGACAGAGATACACACATACATATAGATAGAGACGGTTTTGGCTTATCGTCACGGTTTATTAGGTATTCTTCGCCGTCTCTGCCGCTACAACAACACCATTTCTGGCGGCGGAACTTGCAGGGGTCTATCTATGACGAAGAAAATCACCTGATCTCGATTTTTCCCTTTCTAGAACTCTCTCTCCACAAATTGGTATCATCGCCATTGCTGAGGTAAATAACTACTCATAGAGCTGTTTTTTTATTTTTATTTTTTTTATATTTTATATTTTTATCATTTTCTCCACGATTGTATGGCGTTTGAGTGAATGAATGTTAGGTTCACGCCAGACCGAGTCAACCCGCCCCACCTAGTTGACTCAGCATAGTATCTATCTTTGCAAAACAATATATATATGTGTGTGTGTTTTCTGTTTAGCTTGTTTTGAAAGTTGTGGAATCTGCTTCACTGCATTTAAATGGCATTTATGTGTTAATGTGCTGTTCAGTGCTGCTGGTTTAGAGAAAATTACTTTGTTCTTTTTTGTTCACACTTTGTTACTATGCTGGTTTAGGTTGGGCTAACTCAGCAATGAGTTGTGATTGATTTTTTCTCTGTTTTTGTTTTTTCTTTTTTTGCTTTTCAGTTAGCTTGTTTTGAAAGTTGTGAAATCAGCTTCACTGCACATACTACAATACTACACTACTTAGTTGCTTAAAGCTTGGTTGAATTGACTCAGTCGATATAGGTTTTGCTATAACATGCTTGGAGATTATGTATTGGATGTAATGTGCTCACTTCTCTACATGGTTTTGTTGCTGATGGTGTTCTTGGATAGTTCCTTTTCTCAACATCTCAGTTCTGCCCTGTTGGGTTGGTTTTAATTAAAACCTGTTCTCCAGATCACATTTCCAAAGAAGATAAAAACAAACATTTTCCATAAATTAATTTCTGGTGGAATGAACATGTTTCTTGCTTAATGCAACTTACACAAACTCTTTTCTGCGGGAAACAGGTTCCTTGGAGCTCCTTTAATCTCCATATTTGATTCATTTTAAGCTGAATTACTCATAATTAAGAAAGGCATCATTTTAGTCAGTTATCAATCTTTTGCTTTAATCTTATTCATCTTATGCACATTGGTCCATGTATAGACAGTTTTAATTCATAATTTTCACACTTGCGTCATTTGTTATTGTGATATTCATGTTGAGACTGTACTGAGATGCTCATTAGTTAAGACAACATACGATTATCTCAATTTTTTTGGTATTATTCCATCATATTGTTTGATAGTTAGGTCTTTGCACTACCGTGTTGCTTCAGTAAATAATTGGAGCAATCTTGCTGGACTTTGTTTTGCTTTTTTTTTTTTTTTTTTTTTTTTTTTTTTGATACCATGGCTTTATTTTCTCATTTTAGAATGTCTCTTTGAAGTTATTTTTTTAATGGTTTCTAGTGTTATATTATATACATGTTCTAACAATTTATTTTTGGCTTTATATTCAGGTTAGATGGACTACAGTTTGGAAGATTCGGATATAAGCGAGTCAGAGATAAGTGACTATGCAGAGAAACCTTATGAGCAACTGAGGACTGGAAAATACAAGGTAAAGAGCACAAATGGCACCCTTAGGTGTCCCTTCTGCGCTGGAAAGAAGAAACAGGACTACAAATACAAGGACCTTCTTCAACATGCTTCAGGAGTGGGTAAAGGTTCCTCTAATAGAAGTGCAAAACAGAAGGCGAATCACCTTGCTCTAGCAAGACTTTTGGAAACTGACCTAGCCAATGAGGTGGAGCAACCACAGCGTGTGATTAAACCAGAGCCTGTACCTCAAAATGCTGTGCAGAATGATCTGTATTGTTGGCCTTGGACTGGAGTCATCATGAATATAAAGAATGAGCCAAAGAACGGAAAAGATTTGGGCAGCAGTGAATATTGGTTGAGAAAGTTCTCTAAATATAAACCTCTAGAGGTTGAGATTTTTTGGGATGGCCAGCAGCAAACTGCCCAAGCAATTGTGAAATTTGATAATGATTGGACTGGTTTCAAGAATGCCATGGAATTCGAGAAGTCTTTTGAGGCTGATCACCATAGTAGAAAGGAATGGAGTAGTGGGAAAAGTCTTCCAGGTTCAGATATTTATGGATGGTTTGCTCGTGCTGATGATTATAATTCAGACGGTCCAGTGGGAAATTATCTTCGTAAGAAAGGAGAGTTGAAGACAATCTCTAATCTTGTTCAGGAGGCGACTCAGGATAGAAACAAGATTGTGGCAAATCTTGCCAATGAGATTGATATGAAAAATGAAAACCTTGATGAATTACAGTACAAGTATAATGAGAAGACTATGTCTCTTAGTAGGATGCTTGAGGAGAAAGACATGCTACACCATGCTTTCTATGAAGGTGATCCTCTCTCCCTTTTTGTATATATATGTATTTTGCGTATGTCTCTAGGCATGTATTGTTTGTGCCCATTTAATGCTTGATGAACTTGTTGGTGGCCTATGACTATATGGAATGGTCATTACCTAGTGTTTGTTGCCATTAATTAGAGGTGTTGGGAGGGACAGAGTTTATTAGTTGCAGAGTTTACCCCTGATATTATTTGTGCAGAGTGGTTGCCCTGAAACTCAGAACCGACTATGAGCTGAAAAATATAAAAAGTATAAAATGGTAGAGGTGATCGGCTAACATATAGGGGCTCAATGAGCCGAAAAGGTTTCTACAATCAATCAATCAAGCCATCCATTGTTTTAATGATATTAATAAATAAGATATGATAAGTTACTGAAATGTAAATGCTGTATTACTGTGTCAGAAACCAGGAAGATGCAGCGGCTCGCACGAGAACATGTTAGAAGGATATTGGATGAGCAGGAGATGCTTAATTATGAGTTGGATAACAAGAGGAAAGAGCTTGATTCTTGGAGTAAAGAGCTGAACAAACGTGAGGCTCTAACTGAACGTGAGAGACAGAAACTTGATGAGGAGAAGCAAAAGGTAATTTATCTTCATTTTATAGATGAATGTATGCACACAGATTCAAACGTATGTGTTCATAATATATTTGTATTCTTTTTCTTTGAGATCCAGATTTTTGCCTTCTGTTCACTTATGGATCACAGGTTGTTGACTGATTATATCATTTGTTCCGGCAGTAGTTTGCCCCATCCAAAAAGTTGTTGTATAGACAGTTTTTTTTAATTGATGCATAAATTGTCTTACGTAATACATTTAGTTCACCCCAGGATAATTGTAGTGAATAAATATGTCCTATATTTTCTACTATTCCATGTTTTTAAGTTTGAAAAATCAAAATAACTTATATTGAGCCATGCCATAAGGGGAAAAGAAAAGGAAAAAAAAAAAAAAAACTTATTGTAGAGACAGGAATGGTTAATAATGCTAAGTAAACGAGGAGTTGAAATTTTCATGTCTGGATTCTTCACGCCCTGTGCTCAGTTCTAATATGGTTTCTCTCTTTTAGAATTCTGTGAGAAACAATTCACTTCAAATGGCTTCCATGGAGCAAAAACGGGCTGATGAAAATGTCTTGAGGCTGGTTGAAGAGCAAAAGGTGTGCCTCTTATAGTTCGCCTTTGACTGGAAACTGTAATTTGCATTGTTAACCTCTCTTTTTCCTCCATTATGTAGCAATTTGTGTAGTTTTTGTTGACTGGGTATTTAAAAATGTGCAGAGGGAAAAGGAGGAAGCTTTAAGTAAAATACTTGCATTGGAAAAGCAGCTTGATGCTAAACAGAAATTGGAGATGGAAATTGAAGAGCTAAAAGGAAAACTGCAGGTGATGAAACATCTGGGAGATGAAGATGATGCAGCAGTTCAAAATAAGATGAAAGATATGACTGAAGAACTGGAGCAGAAAATTGATGAAATGGGTGATTTGGAAAATTTAAATCAAACTCTTATTGTCAAAGAACGCCAAAGTAATGATGAGCTGCAAGAAGCTCGTACAGAATTGATTGCGGTATATTTTCTTTCACCTGCTGGTTTCTTCTTTGGGACTGAATTTTTTGCTGTAGTTGGTATTGGAAAAATACTGATACAACTTGTAATGTGTTGAGTTGGAGCCAATCAAAGTTCTAAAGTTCTCACTCCAAATATTTCATAAGGCATAGAAGTTATTGTCAGATGAAGAATGTTACCATCCTATCAGCATGACATTTGCTCGTATGGTAATGGAAACAAAATGCAATGAAGAGATGAGAGATTAAATTTTAGTTAGCTATCAAATAAAAGGTTGCTCTATCAATATATTATTTGATTGCTTCCATTTGAGGTTATTGTTGATTGTCTTACTGAGATCCTCCATTGTAACATAGAGCATCCTCTTTCAGCCACATAACTTGGTGCAGCCATTTGCAATTGTTGGTTTTGTTCTTTCTACTTGCGTACAATCATATTTCCACACGCTGCAATGTATTCACAACACTTTATTCTATTTCAGGGCTTGAGCGATATGTTGACTATTGGTCGCAACACCCTAATTGGGATAAAGAGAATGGGAGAAATAGATGTGAAGCCTTTTCAGAACACTTGCAAGCTAAAATTTCCACCTGAAGAAGCACAAATCAAGGCCTCAGAACAATGCTCTCTGTGGCAGGAAAGCCTGAAAAAACCAGAATGGCATCCATTTAAAATACTGTTTGTTGAGGGAAAGCATCAGGTATGCCTTCTAAATGTCATAATGTTGTGCTCATTCTTGTTTATGATTCAGGGACTCACGCTTTAATGCTTTTTCGCAAGCTTGTCACTTATATGTTGTGTCTGCATATGGTGTTATTTCTCGTGAGTCATGCGATGATGTATCACAATGACCTAACAAATATGAGAGTGATGCCCGTATATTTCGTCATCTTGAGCTTGAGTTTCTACAGGCACATAAACATTGTAGATGGATGGCTTGAACTTCCTTATGTTATTAGTATGCTTATTGTGTTAGAAACCTGCCCAATTTTCAGTGAATTTTGTAATGTTGCTTGAGTTTAACTTTTGGATGAAAGTCTTTGCTTCTCTCTCTTCCTACACGTAAATTAAGAGAAGTTGTTGGATTAATTAAATGTAAATGATACTGCATAATGTAGGAAGTCATAGATGACGATGATAAGATGCTGCGAAATCTCAGGGAGGAATGGGGAGAGGACATATTTGAGGCAGTCACAACAGCCTTGAAAGAGATGAACGAATATAACCCCAGTGGAAGGTATGTGGTGTCTGAGCTATGGAATTTCAAGGAAAAAAGGAAAGCCACTCTGAAGGAAGTAATTAGTTACATTTTGAAGAATTTGAAGACACTTAAGCGCAAGAGACAATGAGCTTAAGGTTGGTATTTACAGGTTTTATTGATATTCAAATTTGTCTTTTATTGGTAGAACGAACTGAGATATAACTCAAAATTGTTTATTAATTCGAATTATTACCATCTTATAAAAAAGACTAGCAAATGACATTTGAACTGTTTTAGAATCTTATGATTGGTTTGAATACAATTTTCTTTTGCACGTGTAAAATCACGACTGAAAAGAAATATGAATATATATTGAGGTTTTGGTGACAGTTTCTGGATCTTGTTCTAGTGATTTCATTTCTAGTTTTTCTAGATTTTCTGGGGCTAGGGATGATCCAGTTGTCACTGCCAAAAGTCGATTCTGCAAATGACAAGATTTTTGACATAGTGCAGTGTAGACAGTGTGAAACAGTTGATTAGTTAAACAAGTGATAACAAAAAATATTGGCACTTCCCATTAGGTAATTTTTGTCGTTCTATATATATGTTTATTCAATTGTCTTAAGAATTGGCATGGAGTTTAAGAAAGTTAACTATAGTCCGGTCAGCTAGTAATTGCACAGTATTTGCAACTGCATGTTCATGGAATGTCAAGGTGGAATCGATCAAGTGAAATGGATATCTTGTCTCTTTTTTTTTTTTTTTGGTAAGGTAATGATTTAAATGGATATCTTGTCAATCCAACAGGACTGTCAAAATTGTGCCTATCAACTGTGTATGTTAGATTTATTAGCTCAACTACATATATTCTCCATTCTATGTCATCGTGCAACCTTTCCTTGCAAATTTAAAACGGAACCATTCGGGGTTCAATGGAACTTTCTGAACTCTTATGTGGTCCATTCAGGTTCATCTCTTGTATCATTAGGATGAGTGAGGAATTATTGTAAGCAGGGAAGCCAAGGACTACATTGCTATTATAACATTGGAGATTTTGGGGGAAATATTGTTTACTTCAAGTTCACCCATTTAAATTAATTCAGATTATGTGATTTCTTAAATTCATTACAGTTATTGTAATTGGAAGGTCTTGTCCGTTGACATTTTGACCACAGTTCATCTTGGCATATTTATTATTGGTTTTATCTTGATTTAGCGATTTTATATGCTCAATAGGAGGTGGGGAAAGAAACTCTCATTATTTGATTAGTTTATATTATTGATGTAGATGTAGTTAGCATGATAATTGAAAATTGATGCATATAAGTGCTTGCACTCATATCTGTTATTGTGTATCGCACTGTTTGCCATACGAGCTTTCTATGCTACATGATGCAGAAAAAGGTTTGAGATGGGAATTTTACAGGAAATTACTGTTTCTGACTTACATGTAAGTTGTGATAGGTTAGAAATAATAATAAATAAGTAAATAAATCTGAAAGAAACTTTCATTATTTTAAATGAGTATATTCCTAATGTTGTTATCTGCAGCATATAGTCGAAAATGCATCCATACAAGTGCTTTCACCCACATATTTTTGTTTTTTTTTAATTTCTTGTAAATTACACTGTTTAACATTGAGGTTTCATGCCAGGTGATGCAGAAAAAGGTTAGAGGTGAACGTACTGCAAGTTAGAATGTGGAGCGCACTTATTTGCAACTGATGAAACTAGAATTCAGGACAAGATTTGTTTAAAACCTTTATTTCACCACCTGTTGTTCTCTGTAATGTAGGCAACAAAACAGAACTTGTTAAAACCGGATGCCATATTTGTCAGCATTTAGATGGGATGCGACTATCTTCTTCGGTGGGGGAAATTCTGCACGTGTCCTTTTGAATGCTTGAACAATAGTAATTATTTCCCTAGGAAATACCATTTAAATATCTGGTTATCAGATGTTAGAATTGCTGCTCTTATTTGCTTGCTTCTATAATGATGTATATACATATTGATGCTCGTATTAGCTATTTTATGTTTGTGCTGATACGGTACAAACATATATAAAATGGCTAAATGGAAAACAGGCTTCGACGTTGATGTTGACCAAATGGAGATGAAATGGAACAGAGTTGCTGAAGTTGCTTGTTTTTCCATGAGTGTTCTAGGTCAATCATTTGATAAATCATGGTCATCTGATGGATTTCTGGTCAGATCTAACTTGATCCGAATCTTACTCCATAATGAAATTTTGGTCCATGAATACTTTTACATTATTCATGAACCATATAGCCTATAGGTTGAAATACGAAACAGTGAGTTTTGTGATGTTAAAAGGGAAGTGATGCACAGGTTGTGACTTGATATACGCACACTATTAAATTTGCAGGTGCTTTGCTCTTCCAGTCTTACACTGTTTATATATGATTGGCATATGTTTGTTTTGATTTAGTTGTTTAGTTTCAGTGTGTTTGTCTGTGTATGTATGTGTGTGTGTGTGTGTATATATATATATATATATATATATATATATTTTTTTTTTTTTCCATTAATAGAATTAGTGTTTGTGAGAGCATAAGTGGTGGCGGTGGTAACAACCCTAGCTGAATGCCTATATTGCTGCTGCCTCATCTCGATTACATTTAAAAGAGCATCCATGTCTGAAAAAATGGAGCGGAAGTAGAGGAGTAACTGAAATGATTTATCGCCTCTTTCAAGTCGTCAAAATTTGCAGGTTGGAGATAAATTTTATTAAATATACTTCAAAAATTAATTATGCTATATGAATGTGGCATGACATTTCTCATATCAGCCTTATTATATACAAGGGGTCTCATGCTTCAAGGTCGATATAAAGTGGATGGTCCAATGGAGGTGAAATGAGACTCACTAAGGTTGCTTGTTTTTTCATCTCGAGTGTCCTAGGTCAATCGTTCAAGGGATCAATTATAGTCCTCTAATGATTTTCTGGTCGTCTGATCCAGCCTGATTCAAATTTTTGTGCATAATCAGAATTTGGTGGAAATTTAGACATACGTGGTCTATGTTAATTCTCTGGATATGAAGCAGTGTGGTAGTTAAATCCACAATGATAATAAAAATTCATATAAATTACAATGGGGAAATTCATACGCTCAAATTCCCCAAAAAAAAAAAAAAAAAAAAAAAAAAAAAAAATTCACTCTCATAAAGCTTCAAAAAGGTGAGGTTAATTCTCTGGATATGAAGCAGTGTAGTAGTTAAATCCACAATGATAATAAAAATTCATATAAATTACAATGGGGAAATCCATACTTTCAAATTCCTGGAAAAAAAAAAATTCACACTCTCAGAAAGCTTCAAAAAGGTGAGGAAAATTTATGAATGGTTCTAGTACATTCACTTCATATATAGATTGCAAATTAAGGGTGGAGATTTGAATATAGACACACTCGCTTAGGGAGTCGGTTGTTTTACCAATTAAACCACTACATAATATCCTTCTAGCATAATTTATGTGATACCAAATTTTAATTAGGCTCTAATTATATACTTATGGCTTGATTCGAAAACTTTGTTTTATCTTAATGAATTTAATAAGAGCTTTATTTGAGAAATGGGGTATTAAGGAATTTATATAAGAGCAATGAGAGATTTATTTTAGGTTGTTGTGTAATTAATTAGTGAGTGGTGGAGAATTTAAAATTGTGAAACTTTAATTTAAGTACAAGTGGTAGCCACACGTACCTTCATTTCACTTCTTGTTAAAAGATGCAAGTATGCAGCTCGGCTATTCCTTGTAACAGATTGGGAAAAGAGAATACAGAGAAACACACGTGTGACCCATGCATGTACATATTAAAGTTATGGTCACTCACACAAGACACCTGGTTTACATTTTTTATATACAGTATATGTATATGTTAAACGGAGAGAAGTGCTATGAGCCTATGGCCTTGTCTAGGGAGTGAAAGAGGAGGAAGAAGATGCTAAGGAAGACAAAGAAAAAGGGAAAGTTTTAATTTGTGTTCAGTGAAGGTACGGATCATTCTAACATTTGCCCCTTTTGAGTGATTTCACCAAAATTCCTCTTTAATGTTGTTTGCCTAATTCCGATAATATGCTCTATATTTGAAGGCATTCAATATGATAATCTTATGCTGATCCTACTTGCTGGGAAAAAAAAAAAAAAAATTAAAATGAGACTTTTAGACATGGTCCTCTGATTATTTTCTGGTCCGATACAACACATAAGATGACTTCATTTTTTCTTTTACCACACGCATGGTTCCCAAGCTTAGGACTCTATGCCTTGTGAGTTTCTTGTTTTTTTTCCTAGTTGTACTTACACACATGCCTGCACGAGGCTCGAACTCCTGACATTTCTTTGAAAAGTAAGCCCTGTACCACCAGGCCAGTCTTTAAAAAGTAGGGGCCTGTACCACCACCAGGCCACTGGCCTATTGGTTGCCTTGTGAGTTTCGGTATCTATATAATGGTTGTATACTTAATTGAAAAAGATTTTGATATAATGAAATCAAGAAATTGACACCCATCATCACATTTTGTGGTAGTAAAACTGTGACAGTGTGTGGGGTAAAACTGTGACAGTGTGTGCAGTGAAAGTGTGACACTGATGGAGTGGAAGTGTGACACAGCATGTAGTAAAAATTTCACAACAATGAAAAAATCATTTCCAAATTATCAAGCATTCACATCACAAAGTCATAACATTGTATAGTCTTATTTCGAAACACCTATTATTGGTAAGCATTGTATGGTCTTATTTCAAAACACCTATTGTTTCTCCATTTACATCAACTTTGTGACTCCATTTTGCGAACCATTTTGTTGGTAAAGATTATTGCAATTTGGGCAAATTTCATGGCATGGTAGGTCTGCATATATCAACTTTGGGACTCCATTCTGTGAACCATTGCAATTTTTGCAATTTGTTATGATTTGACATATGTTTATGTAGGAACTAGGGAGCTTATGTAGTAAATGGAATGCACATGTTTGACTTAAATTGTGGCATTATAATAATGCAGTTGGAAATTTGTATATCAATTTTGCTAATGGCGAAAGGAAAGCAATCAAGGACTAAACGCAGAATTGATGAGGCGCATGTTGAAAGTACAGATGTGGAGGACGTCGGAGCATATATCTTGTTCCTGTGAGAAACAATAAATTTGTAGAGTTTATACCCTCATGTGTTACATTTTAAAAGATTTATAATGATTTTGATGCAATTTTTTTTTTTTAGGTCTGAGTACATCAAGTATTTTCAAGATGAGGCCTCAAATAACAGTGGGAAGGGGACAAAAAAGGTGGTTCTGTCATTTTAATTAATAATATTTACGTATCATTGCAGACTTATAATTAATTAATTCTTAATTAATGTCTTCATTTCAAATGTTTCCAGTTAAATGGTAAGCGGAAATGGAATGATATGAGTGAGAAAGAGAAGCAACCGTGCAAGAATAGAACAGCGGAGGCATTTACGAATTATAAACCTGAACCTCGTTTAAATAACGAGGAGGTAAGAAATATGATGTTTGAGTATTTTTGTGACTCAAAAATAGGATAAATAGGGTTCTGAATTCCTGAAATATGCAATATCCAAGATGTGTGGGTCATAACAGCTTTGATACAGTTTCACCATGTTTTATAACAACTTCACCATGTATTCTGCCTGTGAACCTCATTTTGATACAATTTCACCATGTTCTATAATAGCTTTTGATCATATATATTTTCTCGACATTCATTTTAACGTTTCTACTTTTCTTGACATTCATTTTAACGATTCTACTTTTTTCTGTGAGCTTCATTTATGTTCAGTTATGCTACATATTATTTGTAACAGAACAAGACATTACGTTTTAAATGGCTGGTCATGAACAAGTCCCATAATATTTGCTTATTGTTCAGATTCATGAGAGAGAGAAAGAGGGAATATGTATTCTGTATCTTTCTTGTATATATTTTACTCACTAACCCTTAAGCCTACAGTGGCTTTTATAAAGGGAAAACAAACAACCCTAATAAAATAAGGTTACCTAATTTATACAATAATCCTAACAACTATGGGTAATAACATAATGACCCAACATAAATATATATATACATAAACATTCTAGCACTCCACTTCAAGCTGGAGAATATATATCAAATAATCCCAGCTTGGAACAGATAGTCCTTAACCGGTTATGACCCAATGCTTTGGTAAACATGTCAGCTAGTTGATCTTCAGACTTCACAAATGGAGTAGAAATGCTCCCACTTAATATTCTTTCCTGAATGAAGTGACAGTCAACCTCAATATGTTTGGTCCTCTCATGAAACACAGGATTCGATGCAATGTGAACAGCTGCTTGATTATCACAGAATAATGGAGTAGGAGCTTCAACTGTTAACCCAAGTTCTTTTAAAAAATGTTGTATCCATGTTAACTCACTAGTGGTATGGGCCATTGCCCTGTACTCAGCTTCAGCACTGGATCGGGCTACCACCGTTTGCTTTTTACTTTTCCATGTAACAAGATTTCCTCCTACAAATGTGCAGTAGTCTGTAGTAGATCTCCTATCTGAAGGAGAACCAGCCCAGTCAGCATCTGTAAAATCTTCCACCCTGAGATGACCATTTGATTTATATAATAACCCAAAACCTGGAGCTTGCTTGAGATATTGGATAATCCGAAGAACAGCAATCCAATGTGGCATTCTAGGAGCTCCCATGAACTGACTTACAACACTAACTGCATATGAAATATTAGGCCGAGTGATAGTGAGATAAATTAATTTTCCAACAAGGCGACGAAATCTGTCTGGGTCATTAAATAAATCACCCTCATCAGACACAAGTTTTGTATTGGAATCCATAGGAGCATCAACCGGATGACCACCTAACATACCCGTGTCTTCTAGCACGTCCAACACATATTTGCGTTGAGATAAACTTATACCCTTCTTGGATCTAGCAACTTCAATACCAAAGAAGTACCTAAGTTTACCCAAGTCTTTAGTGTGGAATCGATGTTGCAGAAACAACTTCAACTTAACAATGCCTTCAGAATCATCACCTGTGATCACTACATCATCTACATATACCACAAGAAAAATGAAACTAGCTTTAGTGCACAGGTGAAATACTGAATGATCGGTCTGGCATTTGTTAAGGCCAAATTCCAATGCCGCCTCAGAGAATTTGCCAAACCAAGCCCGTGGAGATTGTTTCAATCCATACAGGGCTTTTTTAAGGCGACAAACAGTGTGACGATACTCCCCCTGAGCAACAAACCCAGGTGGTTTCTCTCTATAAACTTCTTCAACCAGGTCACCATGTAAAAAGGCATTTTTCACATCCAATTGAAACAACGGCCAGTTACAATTGGCAGCAATGGAAATAAGTACCCGAATAGAATAAATCTTAGCAACAGGGGAAAAAGTCTCATCATAAGCAACACCATAAGTCTGAGTGTACCCCTTTGCCACTAGACGAGCCTTCAACCGCTCAATAGACCCATTGTGAAAGTATTTAACTGTATAGACCCACTTACAACCAACCGTTTTGGAGCCCGGAGGTAAAGGAACAAGATCCCATGTGCGATTACGGTGAAGAGCATCCATTTCATCTACCATGGCCTGTCGCCAACCCGAATCAGAGAGAGCATCCTGCAAAGTCTTGGGAACAAAAGTAGCAGACACTCGGGATAAAAAACAAGATAAAGAGGATGAAATATGACGGTAGGAGACAAAGTTAGAAATGGGATGTGCAGTAACACACGACCGAATACCTTTACGGAGAGCAATAGGCAAATCATCAGGTAAAGGCGTCGGATCCGAAGACTCTGAAAGAGATGGAGGGAGCGAAGTAGGCGGTCGAGGTCTTCGAGTATAAACCTGCAATGGGACAACAGAGCGAGGAGGTGCGGAAGCAGGAAACAGAGAGGGAACCATTGGCATAGGTGGCTCAACAGTAATATCGAGAGGAGTAGTAGAATCAGAAAAATAAGGGAGAGACTCAGAAAATGTGACATCAGCACTAGTGAAATAACGTTGAAAATGAGGACTATAACAATGATAGCCCTTCTGAGTGACCCAAGAAAAACACACTTAGTGGCACGAGGGTCGAGTTTGTCAAGACCGGGTCCAAGGTTATGGACATAAAACACACACATCCAAAGACCCGCGGAGTAAGATTAAACGAAACGGAGTTGGAAAATAGAACAGAATGAGGAGATTGACCTTTTAACACTGACGAGGGCATCCGATTAATAAGATGACATGCCGTAAGAACAACATCACTCCAAAACCGTTTGGGAACACGCATATGAAATAAAAGGGCACGACAGACTTCTAGGAGATGACGATTTTTACGTTCAGCTACTCCATTTTGTTGCGGAGTATAAGTACAAGATGATTGATGAATGATGCCTTTAGCATGAAAATAAGTCTCAAAAGGGTCCGAAAAATATTCTTTGGCATTGTCAGAACGTAAAACTTTTATGGAACACCCAAATTGAGTTTTTATTTCTTTACGAAATATTTGGAAAATTAAGAACAACTCAAAACGATTTTTCATTAAAAACAACCAAGTCATCCGAGAATGATCATCCACAAAAGTCACAAAATAACGAAATCCATTAATAGAAATATGTTTTATTGGTCCCCATGCATCTGAATGAACTAACTGAAAAGGACTAGCAACGCGATTATTATGTCTCGGTTTGAAAGATACACGACAATACTTACTAAGCTGACATGTTTCACAAGACATGGACTCAATACGACTAAGACCGGGGACTTGACGCTGCAAAACTGATAATGATGGGTGGCCGAGACGACAGTGCCACTGGAAAGGAGACAAAGATGATTGAAGAGCCGTGGGAGATGATGCAAGATCGAAGTAAAACAAGCCACCTACTTCATGTCCCGTACCAATCCTCTTCTTCGTCTTGAGATCCTGAAGAAGACAACATGTGGGATAAAATGTAACGGAACAGTTAAAGGATTTAGTAAGCTTACTAATGGACAACAAATTAAAAGGGAATTGAGGAACATATAACACAGAGGAAAGGGACATAGAGGAGGTAAGATGAATAGTTCCCAAACCCAAAACTTTAGTTGATGATCCATTAGCAAGAGTAACACTTTAAGAGGAAGAAACTGACTGAAAATCAGATAAGAGATGAGAACTACCAGTCATGTGATCGGATATGCCAGAGTCAAGAATCCACGGATTTGGACTAGATACAAAAGACATGCAGGAGCACTACCTGATTAGGCAAGGGACCCCATGGAAGATGAGGTAGAAGGCCGTTGTTGAGATAGAAACTGATCATACTCATTGCGGGGAATCGTGACCATAGCAGTCTCAACAGCCACATATGGAGTAGTGGGTGTAGTAGAGAAAGAAGAATCCCCATCATTAGAAGTCACTTGATGTGCATAGGAAGAAGGTGGTGGTTTCCCATGAAGATCCCAACAGTAATTGACAGTGTGATTAGTAAGACCGCAGTGAGTGCAAAGTTTTGATTCTCTGCCTCTACCACGACCACGGCCACGGCCACGGCCATGAGTAAAACGACCACCACCGCAACGAGAAGACTGAAAACCACCCTGGTTCACAACTAAGGCAGAACGTTCACTGCTAGGAGGAGCAGTGACACCACTTGAAGCACCCCCGGAAACACCATTAGATAAAATAGCACGCTGGAGTCTGCATAACATATCAGGAAGAGAGGGAAGTGTAGGGCTACCCAAAATCTGTGCACGAACAGGTTCATACTCTTGTAACAATCCTGTGAGAACCCGAACAACATTAAAATCCTCAAGTTGTTGTTGCATGCTTCTCACATCAGAAGTGATGGGTTGATACAAATTCATTTCTTCACAAAGACCCATTGCCCTTGAGAGGTATTCTTCTAAACTGTGAGTCCCTTGCTGGAGGTCAAAAAATTGTCTACACACCTCATAAATTCTGGTGATATTACCGGTACCTGAATATAGCTGTTGGACTCGGGTCCATATCTCCTTGGCAATGTCCAGATATAACAAGTTGGAGCTAATATGAGGTTCAATACAATTCAGCATTAAGGAGATGATCTGAGCATCCCTTTGTTCCCATAAACTGAAATCAGCAGCACTGTCTTTGGGTTTATCCTTAACCAAATGAGTGCCAAAGCCTTTAGCTTTTAGGAAAATGGCCACTGACTTGGCCCATAAAATGTAATTTTTGCCATTAAGCTTGACTGAAGTCATGGGAGGATTGAAGGAGGTAGAAGATAACAAGTCTGAATTGGCAGCCATAGAGGAGATAACAAAAAAACGAACCTGGAAAAAAAATTGCAAGATCAGCAGTCGGGCTGGATCTGGGCAGTCGGGCCGGATCTGGATAATTGGGCTGGATCAAAACCGGGTCTCTGCTATTCCGGTTTTAGTTAACTAGGGTTGGAATAGCATAACCGCGTAGCCAAACACCGTGTTCTTCTTCACCCACTGACAGACGCCGGCAAGCACACAGCGGCGACGGCGACAAATAGCGACAAACACTTCTGCAACTTCCGACCAAGAGAAAAGATGAATCGATGAAGCCTTACCTCTGCAAATAACGACGGTGGATGTCGGCGAGCTTGCTGATGACCAACGCGGCAACAACACGAGCAACCAAAGGGGCTTCAGATCTGACGGCGACGAAGGAGGCTGCAGATCTGACGACGACTACGATGTTCTCAACCTGCCGGCGACAAGAACTTCCGGCAAAGACACGTAACGCGACAACACACTCGCGATTCCGATCGCGATTCCAATCTCATACAATGGCAACACAATTGTCGTTTCCCACACCCATGAATCCATATTGCTCTGATACCATGTTTAGATTCATGAGAGAGAGAAAGAGGGAATATGTATTCTGTATCTTTCTTGTATATATTTCACTCACTAACCCTTAAGCCTACAGTGGCTTTTATAAAGGGAAAACAAACAACCCTAATAAAATAAGGTTACCTAATTTATACAATGATCCTAACAACTATGGGTAATAACATAATGACCCAACATAAATATATATATATATATACATAAACATTCTAACACTTATAACGTAGAAAATAATTTTTAGATTTATTTTTCTGTTTCAGATAGTCACAACAAGGTGCAGCCCACGACAATTTGTTCGTGCCATCAAGAGGTTGACAGGCAGGAAGAAAGAGGCTGTTTGCGAGATTGGGTTTGGAACCCTACTTGGGCTACAATGCACAACGTTGAAACGCCAATTGTGCACATGGTTGGTGAGTCATTTTGACCCAGTCACGTGTGAGCTAAGGCTTGAAAATCAAAGAACAATATCCATTCATCCTCGTGACGTCGGGGAAATTCTTGGTCTTCCGTGTAGTAGGGGTTCCAAGGATGTGCCCCAACAATCAGATGGGGACTATAAATGGTTAAAATCTGCGGGCTTGAAAGTTAAGGATGCTTTAAAAGCGTCTCACCTGGAAAGCCAGTTGGATAAACTTCCCCCTGGTGACAATTTCAAGAGCTGTTTCGTCCTCTTTGCATGCGCCACCATTCTATGTCCTAATTCAAGAGGCGAAGCAAGCAACAAGTTGATTGGTGCCGTTGATGACGTGATGGCAATTCGAGGATACAATTGGGGGAAGTATGTGTTGGAAACTTTGAAAATGGCGGTTACGTCCTATAATGCCGAAGGTGGATGCACATCGGTTAATGGATCTTTACTCTTCTTAATGGTATGTGTGTAGGAAATTATTTTAATTTGTATAGTATTATTTTGCAAAATTGTTGACTAATATTTAGTTTTGTTTTGTGGTTTAGCTTTTTTATTTTGAGCGAGTGGATGTGCACTGGGTAGAACGTTCATCACATGAACCATGCACCACTGCTGCTGCTTGGACAAAAGAATTGATTGCGAAGAGGATCACTTGGGAGAGGAAGCATTACCATGGATTTGGTCATGGTGAGGTGAGCAATATAACCACCAAACATTGCCAGTTGTCTTTACATGCTCGTTTTGTACATACAGTAATAATATGGTTTGTAATCATGAAAAGCCATTGAAGAGTTCCGCCTCTTACAATTCATGTGGCCCTGAAAATGACGAGGAGACCGAGACTGAAGATTGTGAGAATATTTCCGATGATCCTGATTATCAGGTATAATGCATTTTAATTCTTACAATAAGCATTGTTAGCTACGCATGCGATGATTTATGCTCGAGTAATCATTGTTGGCTTTAATTTGAAAATGATAGGAATTGAAGAGTATTTTGGTGAGAAAAGTAAAGAAATTCTTCCATGGTAAGTGTCGGCAAGGAGCTCGACTGGAAGCGAGCTCTTCGACACCACCACCAATGCAATCACCCGGCATAGATGTGCCTGTATGTTCGCAGCATGTTCAAGAGCCAGGCACCAGTTTGGCCTTTGTGGTATCACCTGTTAGAAGTTTCATGTTCAATGCATGGATGTTTCATTCTCTGCAGTCAGTTTTGTTATTATTCTTTTAGAACAGCGTGTGAAATAATTGACTTCATGTTTTCATGGAGCAGAAAAGTGCTGGTGAGGATGTCTTAAGGCTGGTTGAAGAGCAAAGGGTGTGCCTCTTAGTATTAGGCTTTGACTATTTACTGTTGTTTGCATATTTATCTTTTATATTTCATGATTTAGCAATTTGTCTAGATTTCGTTGATGGAGGATTTCAAATGCGCAGAGGGAGAAGGAGGAAGCTAATAATAAGATACTTAACTTAGAAAAACAGCTGGATGCTAAACGGAAACTGGAGATGGAAAATGAAGAGCTAAAAAGAAAACTAAAGGTATCAGGATTTGACTAGATGCTGTGGTTTGCATACTTGACCTTTTACTTTTCATAATTTAGCAATTTGTGTAGATTTCATTGACGGGATTTCAAATGTGCAGATGGAGCAAGACGTGATTTTAAATATGTCACTTCACTTACAACAACAGCTAATTGCTAAACAGAATTTGGAGGTTGAGATTGGAGAGCTCAAAGGAAAACTGACGGTAATAGTGTGCCTCTTAGAATTGGCCTTTCATTTGATACTGTAATTTGCATTTTTAACTACTTATTTTTTCCCATTATGTAGCAATTTGTGTAGCTTTTGTTGACTGGGTATTTCAGAATGTGCAGAGGGAAAAGGAGGAAGCTTTGAGTAAGCTACTTGCATTGGAAAAGCAACTTGATGCTACGCAGAAACTGGAGATGGAAATTAAAGAGCTAAAAGGAAAATTGCAGGTGGTGAAACATCTGAGGGATGAAGTTGATGCAGCAGCTCAAAAGAAGATGAAAGAGGTGACTAAAGAACTGGAGCAGAAAATTGAGGAACTGGGTGATTTGGAAAATCTAAATCAAGCTCTTATTGTCAAAGAGTGCCAAAGTAATTATGAGCTGCAAGAAGCTCGTACAGAATTGATTGTGGTATAAATTATTTCCCCTGTTGGTTTGTTCTTTGAAACTCAATTTTTGGCTGTAGTTGGTATGGAAATTAGACCGATGCGAGTTTTAATGTGTCATGTTTAATATGCGGTTTCATAGCACGTATGAGATGAATTGACACCAATCAAAGTTCGCACTCCAAATATTTGTATAGGCATAGAAGTTGTTTCCAGATGAAGAATGTAACCATCCTATCAGCCTGACTTTTCCTTGTATGGTAATGGAAACAAAAAGCAATGAAGAGACAAGAGAGGCGAAATGTTAGTTAGCTGTCAAATAAAAGAATGATCTATTGGTATATTATTTGATTGCAACCATTAGAGGTTATCTTTTATTGTCTTACCTAGATCCTCCATTGTAACGTAGTGCAATCTCTTTCAGCCACATAACGTGGTACAGCCAGTTGTTATTGTCAGTTTTACTCTTTCTACTTATGCACAATCATATTTCCACATGGTGCAATGTATTCATCACATTTTATTCTATTTCAGAGCTTGCGCGATATGTTGACTATTGGTCGTAACACCCTATTTGGGATAAAGAGAATGGGAGAAATAGATGTGAAGCCTTTCCAGAACACATGCAAGCTAAAATTTCCACCTGAAGAAGCACAAATCAAGGGCCCAGAACAATGCTCCCTGTGGCAGGAAAGACTGAGAAAATCAGAATGGCATCCTTTTAAAATAGTTTTTGTTGAGGGAAATCACCAGGTATGCATTTTAGATGTCAATGTTGTGCTCATTCATGTTTGTGATTCTTGGACTAATGCTTAGATGCTTCATTGCTTTCCCCCTCCCTTCCCTTCCCTTTAAGTAATGCTTTAAGTCTTTTTCACAAGGTTGCCACTTGTATATTTTGTTTGCATATGATGTTATTTCTCATGAGTCGTGATGTATCATGATGACCTATCAAATGTGAGATTGATGCCCATATACAATATTTTGTCAACTTGAGCTTGAGTTTCTTACAGGCTCGTAAATATTGTAGATGGAAGGCTGGAACGAACTTGTGTTTTTAATATGCTTATTGCAGTTAGAAACCTGCCTAATTTTCAGGGAATTTTGTAATGTTGCTTGAGTTAAAAAATTGGATGAAAGTCTTTTCTCCTCTCTCTTCCTACACATGTAAATTAAGAGAAGTAGATGGATTAATTAAATGTAAATGATGCTGCATAATGTAGGAAGTCATAGATGATGATGATGAGATGCTGCGAAATCTCAAGGAGGAATGGGGAGATGACATATATGAGGCAGTCACAACAGCCTTGAAAGAGATGAATGAATATAACCCCAGTGGGTGGTATGTGGTGTCTGAGCTATGGAATTTCAAGGAAAAAAGGAAAGCCACTCTGAAGGAGGTAATTAGTTACATTTTGAAGAATTTGAAGACATGTAAGCGCAAGAGACATTGAGCTTAAGGTTGGTATTTATAGTTTTATTCATATTCAAATTTGTCTTTTATTGGTAGAATGAATCAAAGATATAACTCAAAAGTGATTTTTGATTCTAATCATTAACAATCTTGTCAATCTTGATACCCTACATGGATATATTGAAAGACTAGCAGCAGATAGCGTTTGAACTGTTTTAGAATCGTATTGTTGATTTGAATACAATTTTCTTTTGCATGTATAATCACCAGTGAAAATAAATATGAAGATATAATAATTTTTTGGTGACAAAGTTTCTGGATCTTGTTCTATAGACTTTGTTTTTAGTTTTTCTAGATTTACTCGACACAGGGATGATTCGTTTGTTACTGCTAAAAGTATATAAATCAATTCTGCAAATGACAATTTTTCTGTCATGGTGCAGTGTATTTTGTATGAAACAGTTGATTATCTGGTCAAATGATAGCAAAATTATTTGCATTTTCCATTTGGTAATTTTTGTCATTCTATATATGGTTCCTTTCATTTATTATCTATTTAATTGTCTAAGAAATGGCATGGAGTTTAAGAAACTTATCTATAGGCCAGTCGGTTTGATCAAATGAAACTGGTATCTTCTCAATAGAATATGAGAGTCAAAATTGTGCCCATCGGCTGTGTTACATTAGGTTTATTAGCTCATGTTCATGTATTCTTCATTCTATGTTATTGTGGAAGATTTATTTGTGCAATCCTTCCACGCAAACGTAAAGGGAACCATTCAGGGTTCATTGGAATTGAACTTGTATGTGGTTCATTCATGTCCACCTCTTTCATCATTAGGATGAGTGAGGAATTATGTACAGTTATTGTGATTAGAAGAACTTTCTACTGATATTTTAACCTCATAGTTAATTTTGGCAGATTTATTGATTAGATTTATCTTTACTTAGTACAACTAAAAGGTGGGGTTTCTGTTGGCGATTTGAAATTATCTTGTCCATGCTTGAACAATCCGAACTTGTTATGCTACATAGTTTGCATGATAGTTGAAAATTGATGCATATAAGCGCTTGCACTCATATATGTCATTTTGTGTATTGCACTGTTTTCCAAACGAGCTTTCTATGCTATATGATTCAGAAAAAGGTCGGGGATGGAAATTTTGCTGGGAAATTAGTGTTTCTGACTTGATATCTGTATGTTGTGGTAAGTTATTTAAGATTTTACATTAAAAAGCAAGTTTATATTCCTATTATTGTTATCCTTCGACAGTATATAGTTGAAAATGTTTGCATACAGGAGCTTGCACAAACATATTTTTTGTTCTTCTTTTTTTTCCCCTTGTAAATTACACTGTTTAACAATGAGGTTTCGTGCCAGGTGATGCAGAAAAAGGCTAGAGGTGAACGTATTACAATTTTGAATGCTTAGCACACCAACTTGCAACTGATGAAACCAGAATGCAGGACAATATTTCTCTAAAGCTGTATTTCACCACCTGTTTATCTTTGTAATGTATGCAACAAAACAGAACTTGTTAAAACAGGATGTTATTTTGGTCAGCATTTCGATGGGATGTCAATATCTTCTTTAGTGGGGAAATTCTGCATGGTCATTTTGAAATCTTGAACAACCGGAATTGTCACCGTTTAAATATATATATATATATATATATATATATGGTTTTCAGACGTTAGAATTGCCGCTCTTATTTGGTTGATCTAGAATGGTGTATATAAACATATTGATGCTCGTATTAGGTATTTCATGTTTGTGCTAATATGGTAGTGGCTGCTGATATCAAGTAGACGGTTTCAAATGGAGATGACATGGAAATAAGTTGCTTGTTTTTCCATCGACTGTTGTAGGCCAATCATTTCTGGTCAGATCACTTGATCCAAATCTTACACCATGATCAAATTTTGGTCCATAACTACTTGGACAATATTCTCGGTTGAGACTAGGGAATGTTGACGACGTTGCTTTCAAGATTGGAGATGTGTCTTGTTTGAGGCTCTCTCTCTTAAGACGGATGTAATATTGTAATTGATGGGTAGTGACGCGGAGATTGATAGATATTGTACATTTAGGTCTAACTCTGCGGATTCCGAATTAATTGGTGGTATTTTAATAATTCTCGTATTGTTATGTTATTTTAGAGCGAGAGTATTTATTCATTTTAAACTTTCTCTATCCAATGTTATGATCATTACAGTGAAACTCTTGGACCTATCTGTAGATTTTGGGTGAATCAAGTAAAACTTGTACGTTCTTGATAGTGTGTTTAATCTCTTTCTTGTGTTTTGTATTTAATTTCGCAACAGTAATTTACACAAACATTGTTTTATTAGCCAGATTATTAAAGATGGTAGAAGGTGTAAGCCAATTTTTCTGATGATCAGAAGCTATCTTTGGTGTAGAATCTCCTGTTCCAATTCATCTCCACATCAAAATAAAGAGATCATAAATTTCATCCCCTCGAACCCTGAAGATCACACATAAACAAAACAAGAATTTCGTAATACATAGTCAAATACGGTATGGTATGGAAAAAAATTTATTCAAAAACGTTATAATTTGATTTTTTTTATTTAAAAAAAATAAGTTATAAAAATTCAGTTGAAAAAAATAAAAACTTAAAAATTTGAATACAAATACAAAGTATATAATACTGTCATGAATTAAAAATTTGGCTATACACATTATTTATTTATTTATATATATCATATCTTTATAAAGTCATTAATAGAAAATATAATAAATAATAAAATAAATTTACATTTTATGTACATTGGCATAAAGTAATTAAATATAATTTAATCAGTAACTATGACATAAGTTAATCACAAAATTAATAAGAAAAAATTTCTAATTCAAATAATCGGATAAAAATAAATAAAGAATTGCTCTCTTTTTTCCATCTTTTCTTGATAACCTATATATAGTAAAAGAAATAGAATTCTCAAAAATCACTCAAATCTGCCCAATAATTGATTATTGGATGACTAGTTTAGTTGAACAAGTAACTAATGAATCAATCATTAATAAATAATATATTTAGTGGGTGGATGGTGGATACTCATTCCTATTTTTCTCTCATCGTCTCTCTCTCTCTCTCTCTCTCCTCTCATGTGCATGGGCTTGTGTAGGAGATATGGTTGATGGGCTTAAAAATAGAAGGTTTTGAAAGAAAGTTGAAAGGGCTTAAAGCACGTTGGCTTTAGTTTATGGGTTTTGTTATTTGCTGGTAACATCTGCCTATAAAATAGGAAAAAGAACTAGTTAGGCAATAAAGTCCCCCCTTTTTTTTTTAAATAAATATTGCCATTTGAAAATTAATTATGGAAAATTTGAAAACAATTATGAGAATAATTTTGCGAGTAGATTAAATATGAATTATATATAAAAGATCATTTAACACCCAATCCATTTATGACCCCTATTGGATAGGTTGATAATGGGTAACTAATCCAATCATGAGCAACTCACTTATGAGAAGTTCAAAATCCTAACAAATCCATCCAATTGTCACCCTTAAATAAATGCATAAGTATAATTTATTAAAATTAAATTAGATTATAATATTATGCATAGGCTTAAATCCTAAAAGTGTTTTTGACTTATTTTATAACGGATTGGTCTATAAACTTCCAAAAACAAAACAAAATAAATATCTACAATTACAAAAATTTAAAAATCAAAATATCTACAAAGATCTATAAGGATCTATATAATTTTTTTTAAAGTTCCACAAAATGTGCATATATATATTTCAACATTTAAGATTACAGCTCGCAAGGCTAAAGACATCATATTTAGCCAATACATATATTTTTAAAAAATATATAAAATTAGAATTCTATGAAAGATATAAAAAAAAATGTTTAAGCGGTAACTTACGGGTATAGTTTCATTCGAATTGCAACAAAGTGATATATTTTATATTATTTTTAATACAGTATGACGTGTAATTTGCATACGTGGCGAATTTACTAATATACATGTACGAAGAAGGTTAAAGTGAGAATAATTTACTTCGATTATATAAAGGTTGCGAATACGTAACAATAAAAATTCTTAAATCCACCGCGCAATAGATTCGCTTGGACAGACTTTGCGAAGTAGAAGAAAGGGATTGATTGTGTAAGTCTCCTGATATCTCTCTACACTGTTATAGTGGAAACAACTAAAATATGCAAATTTTATTTGTATATGTGTTTGCGTGCGCACAGGGAATGTAATTGTTAGATTATGTAGTCGAAGATGAATATGGAAAGAAAAAATTTCAGAAATAGAATTTTGTACTTTATTTGGTTTGTATTCTCGAATTTGATTGTTATATAATATATTTGGTTGTTTTGTGATAATTCAACCACCACGTTCAATTCTCTCCTTGAAGATTAACTAACAGGAATTGGTAGTTCCTACACAGTTTTAAGAATTTTATAAACCCTCATGGTTTTTAATATGTTCAGTTGTTCACTAACGATGATTAAACAAAAATTCAAATTTAAAATTGTTATGAATACATATATAAGAATTTAAATTTGTTCACCAGTGATTATTATAAAAGTTGTTGGGTATAAATGTGTATTTGTATTATTATTATTATTTTTAACATATATATTTTTTTCTTTTAGATCCAGCTTTTTGTCTTTTGTTTACTACAAACCAAGAACACAAACAAGAATTGTTACACGCAAAGAAAATAAAAATTAAGCCATGTCGTAGGTGAAGATCAAGCAAATTTTTTTATACAAATCATGAGCTTACAAGTTTTAGAGCCTCCAAACTCTAGCTCTGTGTCACTCTTTCTATGTGTGTTCTGCAAAAGAATTCTAGAACCCAAATCCTAAAAGCACCGTATTGGACTACAAGAGAATTCTAGGACCAGGTCCACACCCTCAACAGAAAAATGGGTCAAAAAAGTTTCCTCACTTTTGGGTCAAAACTGGTAGCACCATGACCCGGGCCGAAACAAATTTGGGCCGAGCCACATATCACTAACTGATTTTCTCATTTGTTCAGGAGTACTCTGCCCTTATT